ATGAACGCAAAGAAGAGATGAGCGAAGTTGCTAGGAATCTTAAGATTTTGTTTCACAGATGGTGTCGTAAATTGCAAGAACTCGAGCTAAGAAGCACCCCGAACTGTACACATTTAGCTGTCTACTCAGTTCAGCCACCCGAGAGATGTGAAAATACTGGACCAGGGAGACCTAAGTTCAAAATCGAAGAAGACACCCTACTGCAGTTCAGAAAGCTAGGCTTCACTTGGAAAGATATAGCTCGACTCTTACTCGTGTCACGTTGGACTCTATGGCGACGAGTACGAGAGCTTGGTATTGAGAAGAAAATTGGCTTTACTGATATCGAAAATGGGGAGCTTGATTACATTATTCATTCTTTCATGACAGCTCAAGGATGTCTTGTTGGCTACTCGATGGTTCGTGGTCACTTAAGGGATATAGGAATCAAGGTCCAACGAAATCGCATTCGAGAAAGTATTGCGCGTGTTGATCCCGTAAATACTCGTCTAAGATGGGCAACAGTTATTTCTAGGAGAACTTATTCAGTACCTGGCCCCAACAGCTTATGGCACATCGACGGTCATCACAGCTTAATAACTTGGGGTTTTGTAATTCACGGATGCATAGATGGTTTTYCCCGGCTAATTTGTTTTCTTAAGTGTTCTTCCAACAACAGAAAGGAAACTGTAGAAGACCTCTTTCTAGAGAGTGTCCAGAATTATTCATGGCCTTCCCGGGTCCGTACGGACTATGGAGGAGAAAACGTTCTGGTCTGGGAACATATGAATGCAGTCCGAGGAAATGGAAGGGGATCTGTTYTGGTTGGCAATTCTACACACAATCAACGCATAGAGCGTCTGTGGCGCGACGTGTTTCGATGTTTTGGGAGCTTATTCTACTACACATTTCAGTCCATGCAAGAATCAGGTCTGCTTGATATCACTAACATGCTGCATATGTTTATGCTTCATTACGTTTATCTTCCAAGAATCAATGCTGCCATTACAAGTTTTGCTGCTGCTTGGAATAAACACCCTATTAGGACTGAGAGGAACTGGAKTCCAGAACAGATATGGTCCAACGGAATGATTGACAGAGTTAACAGTGGGCTTTGCGCAGTGGCTGACGTTAGAGGTGATGGAAATGTATCTGAAGATGACTKAGAGTGGTATGGCTTTGATCCTGGAGCACCTCTTCCACCAGATGATGGTCTCTCTACTGTCGAGGTAGATGATGTGAACTTTGACCTTCCAARTGACATACTCATGCTTCTTGCTAATGAAATTGATCCACTTGCTAATTCAAGCGCTTTTGGAATTGACATTTTTTCAAGAGGAGTTTCACTTCTTCAGGATCTGCTGTATGATCATGCTCAATGAGAAAAATTGTGAGCAGGTTGTTTTCAGCATCTACACCAAATTGAAAACATTGTTGGGTTCAAAAATGTTAAATCATTGAAGAAGGGTGAGCTGGGTAAACAGTTAATGGGGCTATTATTATGGATCTTGATGTTTGCAGCTATCAAACATGGATTAAAGTTGGGAAACAAAGCATTTTTGTCACTCCAAATGCCAAGGATATTGCTCTTAGATCTGATGATTTAACCTTTTGCACCCAACAATGATTTTTTAATGCCATGTATAAACCTWTTAAAAAGAACTGTTCAGGCTAAAAGCAAGAGGGTGATGACCAAAAAGAGTTCTGGATAGTCATAATTTGTTAATATATTCCAATTATATATTTTTTCTATTACAAGTAAATCTAGCATTCATTTTGGTCATCAGATTCTTGCTTTTACCCTTGACAACAATTATTGGAATAAGATAAGAGTATAATGTAATTGTGTGAAAATAAACTAAGTCCCACATCCTTCCTAAAACAAAACTCAGACAGTTTTCATTTTTTATTTCTAATTTCAACATAATCTGGAACATTGGCAATATAATGGAGAGTAGCCTCCTCCACAGGCATCACAGCCCTTTCTGACAGTAAGAATGGCTTTGTTGGAGGCTAGAATGATAAAGTTTTTAATTTTGATAAATAAAACAACACAAAATCCAAAGGGACTGCCCTAGTATTACATAAAAGGGGGAGGTGCTATAGAGGAAAAACTTTTTACCAAAATAGTCCAGAATCTAGAACATGTGGATTCCTGTTTACACTTCATCTTTACATTTTACTATGCTGCCCTTAATTACATTGCTAACTGTTACAGTATCTCCTTCATCCCCCCCCCCCCCCC